CTGATTGACGGCCTCTAGAGGGGGGGGGGGTTTTGGGACACCCTGTATTTGCTAGCCTGCCTTTTCAAAGAATCTCTGCTAGCCTGCCCTTTCAAAGAATCTCTGCTGGCCTGCCCCTTCCTAATGAAACTCTGCTAGCCTGCCCTCACCTCACTTTGACCCCTCACCCCGTAGCTGTGTCAAAATGTACGGGGCGTTCCGACTGAACGGGCTGCGTGTGTGGCTAGGCTGTGAATGTATGGTTAAGCGAACGGGTCTATGCCCTCAGGCCATCAACCGGTCTCCCTCTCTGTCTCTCTCTCTCTCTCTCTCTCTCTCTCTCTCTCTCTCTCTCTTTCTCTCTAGCTACCCCCATCCGAATGTGCATACGGTCATTTCCAAGTGGGAAAAAGAGGGTCCCGCGGCGAAAGCCTTCGAGAAATCGCCCCCTCCATCCAGCCACCGGCTCCTCCTCCTCCTCTTGCTCATGCTCCTCCTCTGGACCCGCGCATTGAAACCCCTTTTTTCAATTTTTCTCGGGGCTTGCCGGCAGGCTAGCATGGAGCATTTGGGGAATGCCTTTCTTTTTTTTGGTGTTTTTAGAGCTACCTTTTCCAGGGCAGTCTAGCAGAGATTCCTGAGGAATTTCCACTACCCGGGCAAGCTAGCAGCGATTAACAAAAGAAAATGGGCTTTGGAAACTTTTACACCTTGAAATTCCACAAATTTTCCCTGATAGCCTGCCTCCTGTGTTCTAAATGAACTTGGCTATTTTCCCTATGCTATTCCGAAATTGTCTCTGCTGGCAGGCCCTCTAAATTTTCAAATAATCTCTGCTAGCCGATTCTCTGATTCACAAAGGTTCTCTGCTAGCCTGCCCATTCCTAAAGAATTTCTGCTATCCTGTCCTCTACTCCTAAAATATCTCTGGTAGCCTCCTCTCTGCCAATTCCAAAATGGTCCTTGCTGGCTTGCCCTCCCTCTATTCTAAAAAATCATTGCTGACCTGCCCTCTCCTCAATTCCCAAATGATCTCTGCTACCTGGCCCAAGCGGTTTCTACTAAATCGACGAAACTCAGAGAATTTTTTTGGGCCGTTCCCTAAATCGGTAGCTGTTTGGAGGGTTCGTGTACCAGTTTGTTTGCATTCCCTCACCCTCCGCTCTCCATTTATAGCCGTGTATTGGCCACTCAATGGCTCGTCACTTTTCACGATTCTTCCCGTCGTGCACTCCTCAAAAACGCGGTGGGAACAACCCGAAATTTTTTTTGCGTAGCGTATGCAAACAATATTTTAAGGGGGTTATTGTGTTTTCCTTGAATTTTGGAGGTTTCTACTTTTTACGCTTTTTATTATTTTCTAGGGTTTTATTAACATTCATATAGTCCGTATTTTTCCAGAACGTTAGAAGGTTTGCGCAAAGAATCTCAGCTAGCTATACCAATTTTTCTTGCTTTGCCGATGCAAATCTTGATCTAGCGGCTCTAAGGCTCGAATCTTTTTAGATACCGCTTTTTTTAACTAAATTTCTAGAACTAAAATTTATATTTTGCCTCTTGGTAAAATTTTCCCAGGAATTTCTTTGGTTTCCACAAAGAACCGCTGCTAGCTAGCCTGTGCAGATAATTTTTCGTTGTTCCTTGATGTCCAGCCCTTTAAAGTTTAGTTTTTAGCGTGTCTAAGGATTTTCACTCTCTCTCTCTCTCTCTCTCTCTCTCTCTCTCTCTCTCTCTCTCTCTCTCTTTCTCTCTTTCTCTCGCTCGTTCTCTCTCACTCTCTCTCTCTTTCTCTCTCTCTCTCTCTCTCTCTCTCTCTCTCTCTCTTTCTCTCTCGCTCTCTTTAAAACAGGCCTAGTCCATCCTGCCACTATCCCTTTAGCGAACCCAAAATTCCGCTAGAATTCTGTACGTCCATAGAATTTATGTGGAAATTCGTGTCCAGGCCAGAGAGGGCGGGTAGCGGAGTGACCCTAAAATCGGTCATCGCCATCCCGTCAGAGCCTGTCCTCCTCTTCCTCCTCTTTTCCAAGAGTATCGATTCAGTAGTGGCTGCTCACCGAGTGAGTGTGAGTGAGACTGGGTAGAGAGAGAGAGGGAGACTGCGAATGGTCACTCTCGTCGGGGTCAAATTTTTCGAAATATGATGTTTTCCTGCAGTTTTTTTGCAAGCTTCCCAAGCCCGCTAATTTGCCTGGTTTCGTGCCAAACCGATGTACAAAATTCTGTTCCTTTCTATATCTCGCTCTCGCTCTCGCACTCTCTTACTCTGTCTTTCTCTCGCCCTCTCTCGCTCACGTTTTCCATCTTTGCACCTGCACAATCCATGAAGCTATGCAATTTTTCATGCGTTTTCTTAGCCTTCAGCGTTCCTTTACGATGATTACGGTAGCAAAGCGTACTGTAGATAAGTGCTTAATCCCGGCAGTTTGATTGTTTTTTTTGTTTTCCTTGCGGATTTTTGCGATTTTCACGCTTCAACGCCCCTTTAATGCGTATACGGTAGAAGCGTCCCCCTATTCGCCGTTCTTCTTTTCGCATAAAACTCGTCTTGGTTTTGCCGTTGTCGAAAAGCTTCTCCCCCTCTGCTCGATCTCCTCCCGAGGCTTTTGTGCTGTTTTTACGGAGAGCTGGCCGAGAGCCCCGCGCGAGGAGGAGAAGCTGGTTTCGGGATCCCGCCACGAACATCTCCCACCCCTGTGCAACCCCTGAATTACGTAACGGTTACGGTAGATGGGACGCGAATTCGGAAAGGGGAATGGGGGCTATGGGACGGCTAGCAAAGATCATTTGGGAATCTAGCAGGGAGGCTAGCAGATATCATTTACGAATTTAGAAGGCTAGGTAGCAGGTATTCCGTACGAATTGGAAGCAAACCAGCAGAGATTCTTTAGGAAACGAGGCTAGCAAAAGTGCAGGCTATCAGAGATCCTTCAGAAAAAGGCAGGCTAGCCGAGATTCTTTAGGAAAGCGGCAGGCTAGCAGATATTTTTAGGCCGCACCTCTCAAACGATTACTAATTAAATGGGATTTCTTGCTTCTCTTTCCCCCCCCCTCTCTCTCTCTCTCTCTCTCTCTCTCTCTCTCTCTCTCTCTCTCTCTCTCTCTCCCTCTCCTTCTCTCTCTATTTCCTTCTTTTTTACTGTAATTTCCGTGGTGCTTTAAGCAATCTTTTGCTTGAAATCAACGTCGCTTCAAGGCCATTTAATACGGTTTTTTCTCTTTGAAGCGCTTTTTGCCGTTAGTGACTTCCTATAATCTTGCTAATCTTTTGCTTTTTTGCTTTTGCTTCTGCTAAACTCTCCGATCAATCAAACCCCAAAAAACCAAGGGTTTGTCCCCTAAAAAAACGATCGGCAGCCCCAGAAAGGTCATCGCGCCCCCATCCTCGGACAGTGCAAAAAACAGACACTCCAAAGTTTTTTGGGTTTCCCTCTCACTCTCTCTTTCTCTCTCTCTCTCTCTCTCTCTCTCTCTCTTCTAGTACTTTTCACTGTTTTCTCTCTTTTTCGCCCGCGTTTTTCGCTTTTTTTGGCCAGGGATCTCGGACGATCGGAGAATTCCTGAAAAATGGCCATCCCCTTTTCACCGTTCGCTTTCCAAATTTATCGCCGTGTTCGGTTTTCGCAAATGATCTCTGCTAGCCTGCCTGTTCCTAAAGAATCTCTGCTAACCTGCCCTTTCCTATGTTAGCCTTTTTCCCAATTTGCCTTTTCGAGCATTTTTGCAGGTCTTTTTCAAACTTGCTCGTGTTTTCTTCGTTTCAAGCTAATTTTAAATAGATTTCAATAGAATTTTTTTACAGGAAAATCCTCCCAATCTTGGTGGCCGGGCGGGCTGCTACCTAAATGGGGGCTGACAATGGGGATGGGTCCCAAGCCGGGGCCCCTCAGCCCTTCGAGAAGCCCCAGGCGGCCGCTTCGTCTAGTTCGTCATCTACCACAACGACCTCTACAACGACGTCTTCGGCGAGGTCATCTGGGTCCCCGCATATTCCGATGACGAACATTTCGACGCCGCAGCACTACACAGCGCATGCTGGTGGGTGAATTTTTCGTTAGAGCAAAGGGAAAGGGCAGGCTAGCAGAGATTCTTTAGGAACGGGCAGGATAACAGAGATTATTTAGGAAAGGGCAGGCTAGCTAACGGGGGATTCGGCAATTTTGGTGGCAGGCTAGCAGAGACCATTCTGGAACCCGAATCTCGGCATAAAGATCGTATCTCGCCATCCAGGGTGGCTTTTGCTTTTGAAAAAGACCACCCATTGCGCCAGCGATAGATCCGGCTCTCTCCGGCCGGGGGAAAACTCGAATTGCGCATCTCACTGCCTCGCCCGAGCAAGAGCTGGAAAAGCCTGGATTTCTATTTTGAGCAGGGAATGGGGAGATTGCTTGGATTTTCAAGAAAATTTAAGGGCGGGCTGGCAGAGAACATTTCGGAATGGAAGAGTTACGCCAGCAGAGATCGTTAAAGAAAGCAGGGTACACTAGCAGAGGTTGTTTGGTAATGCAGGGTAGGCTAGCAAAGGTCGTTAGGGAATCCGGGGCAGGCTAGCAGGGCTAGAAGCTTTTCGGAACTAAGTCCCTAAAATTGTAATATTCACAAAAATTTGTCCGAAAAAAGTTAGACAGCCTTAGGAGCGAGAGCCAGGCTTGCATCACCTGTGCACCCGGTGATTCAGACACATCGCCTTTCCCTTTTGATTTCCAAAAACACTGATAAGATGCGGAGTAGCGGAAAGGAGGCTGGAACTATGGCCGGTCAGAAGAGGTGGTCAAGGGTACAAACTTTAGGATGGAGTAAAAAAGATAGGAAAAGCTTGAGCCTACGCCGAAGCCTACGCCTGAGCCTAAGCCCAGGCCTAAGCCCGATCCTAAGCATAAGCCTAAGCTAAGACTATGCCTAAACCTAGGCTCAAGTCTAAGCCTAACCTAAACGGAAGCTAAGCCCAAGCCTAGGACTAAGCCCGAGCCTAAGCCTAAGCCTAATAAGCTTCGTTTTCAGGTGAATGGGAATGGCGCGAAATGTCGGACGAGACGCTGGCGCAGCTTTGTGTTTTCCACGTACCCGACAAGCCGCCGCAGCATCAGGATGCTTCGAACCGAGCCCTCACCTCGTTGCCTCTGAATTTGACGATCCGGCAGACCGGACAGGTATGGAATTTCCAAATCTCTCTCTCTCTCTCTCTCTCTCTCTTCTCTCTCTTTCTCTCTCGCTCTCTGATCTTTCGATTTCCGTAACTACCGTACCCCAATATTTCCATTCCATTTCCATCATCTCTTTTTATCTGACTCTGACTGGCTCCTCCCCCTCAAAAGCCGTTATCAGTTCTGCAGCGTGCACACACACCAAGAAAACCTATTGATCATTTTGTCACACAGTCACACGAATTCTGTGTCTAGAATTGCCACTAATTCCTGATTACTAGTCTTCAATGCTAAAAATAGAACCACCGGTAAAAATTAGCTACAATTAAACTTAATGAACTATTGTTGTATCTTCCTAAAAATAAGTAAAAATACGAAATATATTAAAAAATATAAAATTTTTCAGAATAAACACGTATGGTCGATCGACTACATTCCGAGAGGCGCCCGTTTTGGACCATTGCTTGGGGAGTCAAAGTGAGCTTTCCTAAAGAATCGCTGCTAGCCTGCACTTTCGTAAATATTCTCTGCAAGCCTGCCCTTTCCTAAATATTCTCTGCTAGCCTGCCCTTTCCTAAAGAATCGCTGCTAGCCTGCCCTTTCCTAAAGAATCGCTGCTAGCCTGCCCTTTCCTAAAGAATCGCTGCTAGCCTGCCCTTTCCTAAAGAATCGCTGCTAGCCTGCCCTTTCCTAAAGAATCGCTGCTAGCCTGCCCTTTCCTAAAGAATCGCTGCTAGCCTGCCCTTTCCTAAAGAATCGCTGCTAGCCTGCCCTTTCCTAAAGAATCGCTGCTAGCCTGCCCTTTCCTAAAGAATCGCTGCTAGCCTGCCCTTTCCTAAAGAATCGCTGCTAGCCTGCCCTTTCCTAAAGAATCGCTGCTAGCCTGCCCTTTCCTAAAGAATCGCTGCTAGCCTGCCCTTTCCTAAAGAATCGCTGCTAGCCTGCCCTTTCCTAAAGAATCGCTGCTAGCCTGCCCTTTCCTAAAGAATCGCTGCTAGCCTGCCCTTTCCTAAAGAATCGCTGCTAGCCTGCCCTTTCCTAAAGAATCGCTGCTAGCCTGCCCTTTCCTAAAGAATCGCTGCTAGCCTGCCCTTTCCTAAGAAATCTCTACTAGCCTGTTCTGTTCCCTCAAAATCTCTGCAATTTTCGACATATCTCGTGTTCCATCACTTTTCAAAAGAACGCTTTGCATTCCCCTGAAAACGATACACGCGGGAAAATGGCCGGTTCGGGGATTTCGAGATTTCCAAAAGGCTCACATTACAAAAACGCAACTCAAAAAGATCCTAAAAATCCTTGAATTCTGATTGCGGACGTCATTTGAGGGCATGGAACTCTAGGAATGCTGAAAGTGGAGCCCTAGAAATCATTTGATATATTTGCAGATTAGCGGATGCGGTGCGTGGGATGTGTGTGCCGATGGAGGCATCGGCCGCCGGGGCAAAACCCAAGCTTGAGAAGCCCTCGGCAGAGGAGAAGGACGACGGCAGCTGGAAGGTCAGTCGCTTTTTTGAATCGTATGAAGGTTCTGGACTGTTAGCGGGGGGAGGAGATTTTCGCAGGAGGGAGAATGACTTCTGGTTTTTCCACCTATTCCACCTACCTATTGATGATATATTTTGTATTTTTATGATGTTTTTAATAGTTTTTGATTGCTAGAAAGTTATAAAAGTATTTTTAGACTTTGCAAACGCGAAAATTTTCATAATTTTATGGTTTTTTATAGTGTTTTTATGACTAAAAACTATGTAAAATGCTATAAAAATAGTTTATTTTGTCATAGAACCTTAGAAAACAACAGGCAAAAATTTGGTTCCCCCCTAACGTTCCCGAACCGTTTTTTTAGGTCCGGGGAAGCAGAATGATTCCTTATCTTTCTTTTCTGTTTTTCCCCCCGCAACATCCCCGCAAGTTGCTTCTTCCAGATTTTCACGCCATCCGGCGGTCGCGTTCTGAAAAATATCGTCACCAACGACGACTCGAAGACCAACTGGATGAAGTTTGTGCATCGCGCCCAGAAGAGTGACGAGCAGAATTTGGTCGCTTGTCAGGTATCGTATTTCTATCATTTTTATTTTTCTTCAACAACAGTTCTCGTGTGTTTTTTTTTGCGTATCCTCGGCCTAGGTCTAAGCCTGAGCTTAAGCCTAAACCTAAGCATTTTTGAGATCCTGGATTTAGGTGGACAACGACATCTACTTCTACTCGATTCGAGCCATTCGCCCGAATACAGAATTGCTATTCTGGTACGGAAGGGATTATGCGGTGCGGATGGGCGAGTCGACGAATTGTGAGAATCCGCCGAGGCCGGCAGGTACGGTATTTTGAGCAGATTATAGCTTTGCTAAAGAATATCTGCTAGCCTGCCATTGCCTAAAGAATATCTGCTAGTATGCCCTTTCTTAAAGAATCACTGCTAGCCTGCCCTTTCCTAAAGAATCACTGCTAACCTGCTCTTTCCTAAAGGTCTCTGCTAACCTGCCAATTTTTCAGTCGTCCGCCCAAGCCCGTCACCAAATTGGCAAAACTCTCCCACCGAAAAGGATCGCTCCTCCCCTCAAGAAGCCCTCGATTTCAGCATGAAGCGGTTGGCCGAAGTACGGTAACCTTGACTTTTCCGAATTTTCCGTATTTCCAGCATAGGGATGGATTTTTAACTCCGAATTTCAGGCCGACGTGCCCCCAGAAGTCAGTCCAGTGCCCGAAGATACTTCCGGCTCCTCGACGAGCTCCTCCTCGGACAGTTCATCTGAATCCTCGACCTCATCCTCACCACCTTTGCCGATTAGGCCGGCTGGTAGGTTGATAGATGCTGAAAGCGACAGTATGCTAAAACGCTGGTTTTTATCGTAGCAAGTATTAGACTAGCCTTGAAAACCGCCAATTACAGTAATCCACCCGCCCGTCCATCGGCCAATCCCACTCGCCCCACCTTCACTTGGGTCGATCGCTCTCAGCGTAGGCGGAATGGGAGCTCAGGTTTGCCTTACCGTAAAGTAGAAATTTTGTGTCGTAATAGATAACATATAATTGTCTCACTTTATCAAGATACCACTTCGCAACTAGTTACGGTCTTTGTTAAATAGCGTTTAATGCTACCCAGTATACCAAAATACCCTAGTTCAGCTGACACGTCGTCTTGAAACGTCCTAATTTTCAGTTTCAGACCCTAGCCCGTGGGGGACCACTAACTGCCTTCTCGCTGGTCATCGACGACTATCTGCGGAAGACCCAGCTCCACAATGCCTTGTGGGTACCCCCAGCGGCTGCTGCCACCGCTGTCGGGGGTGGCGGAGGAGTTCGAGGAGGTGGCAGGCCGGATGAGGCTCAGCCAGTGTTTGGAGCGACAGCCTCACCACCGTTTGGCCAAGCGGTAGGTATTTTTGCAGTTCTCTCTCTCTCTCTCTCTCTCTCTGTCTCTCTCTCTCTGTCTCTCTCTCCCTCTCTGTCTCTCTTTCCACCTAATTATTCCATTACAGTACACCCTGTACGGCTCCTCGGCCTCGAAGCCACTCTTCTCAGCTTCTCACTCTGCATTCGGCTCCTCATTCGGAGGTCATGCCTTCTCGGCCCCGCCCGTCCCGATGCATCATCAGAATCCGGTGCCTCATCAGGTAATTTTGGGCGAAATGCGATCTTTAAAACGATACTAAGGTACTTATGTACGGTAAACTACGATGAATTCGGCTACGTTGCGTTCCAGCATGCCTGAAATCATGATTTTCAAGTTCCAGAACCCATATGGTGGCGGTGATGGCAGCGGATCGGGGCAGAACAACAACCCGAAATACTTGCAGCAGCAGGAGAATGGGAAGACACGGTACAAGTGCAAGGTGGGAAAGCGAGAGAGAGAGAGAGAGAGAGAGAGAGAGAGAGAGAGAGAGAGCGAGCGAGAGGGAGAGAGAAAGGAAGAAAGAAAAAAGAAAGAAAGAAAGAAAGAAAGAAAGAAAGAAAGAAAGAAAGAGAGAGAGAGAGAGAGAGAGAGAGAGAGAGAGAGAGAGAGAGAATGAGAGAATGAGAGAGAAGAGAGAGAGAGAGAGAGAGAGAGAGAGAGAGAGAGAGAAAGAGAGAGAGAGATCAATAGCGAATTTTGTTTCTAGGAATGCCAAAAAACCTTCGGCCAGCTGTCAAACCTGAAGGTCCATCTGAGGACCCACACCGGAGAGCGTCCCTTCAAATGCCAGGTCTGCAGCAAGGAGTTCACCCAACTTGCTCATCTACAGAAGCACAACCTGGTGCATACAGGTACAACAGCAGTTGCAACGGTAATTTGCCTATTTTTAATTTTTTAGGAGAACGCCCGCATCGATGTGAAGTGTGTGACAAGCGCTTCTCTTCGACGTCGAACTTGAAGACCCATTTGAGGCTGCATAACGGACAGAAGGTAGCTTGCTGTCCCACTACCCTTAGAGGGCAGGCTAGCAGAGATTCTTTGCGGAATTTTCGCACCTCACTGCCTACAAAACCCTATAAATAGACCCTTCAGCCGTACCAATGCGATGTGTGCGCGGCCAAGTTCACGCAGTACGTCCACCTCAAGCTCCACCGACGCCTTCACGCTAATGACAGACCGTACTCGTGCGGGACGTGCGGAAAGAAATATATTAGGTGGGCTTGGGGAAACTCGAAAAATACAGTAATCCTAGCCCGTCGGGGCTGCGTACGCATTGGAAGACGACGGCCTGCCAAGCCGACCCCGCCCAGGAGGAGCTGATCAACGCCTCGGCGACGCCGCATCCCCCTGGAACACCGCATACACCAATGCCGGTAGGTTTAACGGGATTGGGAAGTTGCTATATCTCTAAAACTACTGTAGCTGACAGGTTATAACTAAGGATTGTGGTTATTCAGGGTCTAATAGACACCATAGCCGAACCTGGTTCGCTAGAAAGGGTTTTGCGGCCATTTTTACATTTGCGCAGTTCAACCGATCTAACAGCCCTCCGCTTCAAGCCTTGGGCTTTAAACTTATAGGAGGGATAGCTCATGACGTTCCGGCTCCGTGCTGCAATTTTCAGAAAAATCTGATGAAATACAGCCATTTTAGGGGGGCTTTGTCTTCCCCGGGCCCCCGAAACGCCACCCACCTGGCCCACCCGGTGGGAGGGGGGTATTTAAGAAAGATTGGCGACACCCTCGCCCGCGCATGTGTCCTCCCCGAGTCACCGACAAGCCTGAGAGCGGTTGATGAGGGGTACGGCATCCCGGAATCAGGAGACTATTCCAGGTCCTTTCTTCTACCCAAAGGAAGGGATGCGCTGCTCATCTATGTCCCACAACAGCAGCTGGCTTGTCCCGACCACCTATGCGTAGGGGTGCGTATATACCGGTCGGGCGGGCGTAAGCTGTGTAAGGCGCTCCGGTACGGCCGTGTCATGCCTCTCGACACGGTCGGGAACTCTTCTGTCCGATTCTCAGACCACCCACCCTTGAGGTGACGTGCGAGGGATAGGGCAGGCCGGTGATGCAAGGTAAGCTGTACCAGTCGTTTCTGTGGCCACGGGAACTTCACGAGTCAGCAAGGCGGGCGTGAATAGAGTTTTGCTTTTTCTAGACCAGTTTTTTGTGCTGGATCCAAATTTTGGGTCCGTTTAGTGTGGGTAGCTATCGTTTTTGCGATACCGGCCCCCCAACCGCCCAACATAGCTGTGAAGTACACCCAGTTCAAGCCAAGCGCAATTCGAAACGTAAGGCAAGCTAGCAGCGATCATTAGGGAAATCCAGCCTAATATACGCAGAATAAAGATAGAGATAGAGACTTCGCGCTCGCTGATTTTGACCTCCCGGCCGATTTTGCAAAAAAAAATATCGCCCTGGCTTGGCTACGTGTTCTACGTAGTCCAAATGCCTAAGCAACCGGTTGGTAAGGCTGCAGCCACAGGCGCGGCACTTACGAAAAAGCCTGGCCCATACACGTGGTGGCCAAAAAAGGCAAACTTCCCTCCAATTTTTCCATTGTGCCCCGACCCCCCGGCATACAATGCTTTCCCCTGGCCCGGCTTTGGGGAGGCTGATAACTAGGCAATCTAGGAGAGACCATTGAGGAGAGGCAAGGGAGCAATGATTTCTCGCAGAAATCAATAAAACCGAGTAGGGCAAGCTAGCAGAGATCCTTGCCGAAATTGAATAGCACTCAAAGGCAAGCTAGCAGTGATTTTGGCGATAGTTTTCAGACCAGGGCAGGCAACCAGAAATTCTTTGCGTAAGCTGACGCTTGGGTGACCTAGCAGAGAGCATTAGAAAAAATAATCCCTCAGAATTTCCAGGATCACCCCCCGACGCCAATGTCCACCCCGCAGCCGATGCCCGGCCCCTCACACTCCGGCCTCATGGGAGGGCACAGCGGCTTTGATATGGGTCAGTTCTTGAGTATATTTTAGTACTATAATTCAATTAAATTTGGGCCCTTCAAACCCTATTAAAAATAATCATAAATTTCAACGCAGAAACATATTCTAATTTTTGGTTCTTTCGCATTATAGGGGGGTAATTTGTATAAGTCTAGAAATGGCTAGTAACTTAAAAGAATTTTTATAGCGTTTTTAGTAATATATAACGATATTTAAACTAGAAAAATTATCGAAAAACTTTTAAAATGTCGACATTTTGGTCAAAAACGGCCATTTTCGGTCGAAAAATCGATATTTTTCAGACATTTTTGTACAGTTTCCACGTTTAGGAATGGTAAAAAACTACTTAGAAACACTTCCACGATTTATGCTTAAAAATTAGATCCTAGGAAAAAGTTGCACCCCGCCGATAATGCCAAAGAACCAATTTTTTATAGGTGATTTTCAGCATTGAATTTAGAAATTTCAACCTTCAAAATCTTTAGGTCTTGACGCCGTATTCGGCCAAATGGAGCACAAGCCGTTCTTGATGGAGGAGATGAAGCCGTTTCCGATGGGCCCCGGGCCCTCCCTAGCCTCTCTCATGCCATCCCTCCCCCCACTTGATGCCCACCAAATGGCCCAACTACCACAACTCCCCCAGGATGCTCTCGGACTCCAACAACAACATCATCTACATCACCAGCAGCAGATCCCGTCCCTGTCCGACTTGTTGCCCCGCCCGCTGCCCTCCTTGGCGTCGGCGCTGGCGCAGAACCCCCATCATCATAACCACCATCATCGGCCACCGATCTGAGGTGTCACTGTCCCTTTCAAAGCCATGCTTCGGCAGCTTGGGCTTGGCTTAGGCGTGGCTTAGGCGTGGCTTAGGCTTGGCTTAGGCTTGGCTTAGGCGAGGCTTAGGCGCGGCTTAGGCGTGGCTTAGGCTTCGGCTTAGACTTGGCTTAGGCTTGGCTTATGCTTGGCTTAGGTTTGGCTTAGGCGTGGCTTAGGCTTGGCTTCGGCTTTTAAAGGAACGTGTAACCTTAAATCTCCCATTTTGGTGCTTCTTCATTCTCTCACAATTCCTATATATTTTTCAATTATGCTAATTTGTCTGTGTATAATTTTTACTCTCCATTTTCACCACCTAATTTAAATTACGGTATCAAGTTTTGCGAGTGTTTTCCCCGAAATTTTCTTGTTTTCATTTTACAATAATTTTTGTATGCCCATGTGCAATTTAGGATCGAAATTTGTGTATGTGTTTTTGTGTTGTATTATAATTAATTAAAACTGAATTTCAGAAATACCTATAGTAATCGATTAGCCCCTCTAAATCAACGTAAAAACGGATGTGCTTTACCCATTTTTTGCAAAAAAAATATTTTTGAAAAGTTGAGAATACTGTATTTTTTGTTTTGATCTTGTCCTCCCCGATATACTGTGATCCAATTACTACAAAAATATGCTAATTTGAAGACTCTCTCCCCCCCCCCTCTCTCTCTCTCTCTCTCTCTCTCTTTCTTTCTCTCACTCTCTCGCTCTCTCTCGCTCTCTCGCTCTCATCCACGCGTGCTGAATTCAATGGTGCAACTTTTTTATAATAATAATAAATCTTTTCTTCTCTAAATTTTGCGTTCACATCAAAATTGTCATTTTTAATTCTAGCCCAGTTTATTAAATTTAATACTTAATAATTATCATTTTTATGATTTTTATAAACATGAGAATCTTTCTGTGGAGATCTCGGAGACAACCCGGAAACAGATGGGGGAAGTTGAAGGGGGAAAGAAATTTACATACAAAATTAATACAAGAAAAGGACGATGATTTGGCCATCAATATGGAGAATATAACATTCAAGGCATTAATTGATGAATTTTGAAAACTTTAAAACAGTTTAATGATGCTTATTCCTTTTGCCAGAAATTGCGGTAGGTGAGGACGAGGTTGTGGCCCAGATTGGAGAATGAGGACGGGCGAGCCGGAGGGACGCCAGATGCTGAAATTAAATTAGCTTCCCAAGTGATCTCTGTTAGCCTGCCCTTTCCTAAAGAATCTCTGCTAGCCTGCCTTTTCCTAAGCATCTCTGCTAGCCTGCCCTTTCCTAAAGAATCTCTGCTAGCCTGCCCTTTCCTAAAGAATCTCTGCTAGCCTGCCCTTTCCTAAAGAATCTCTGCTAGCCTGCCCTTTCCTAAAGAATCTCTGCTAGCCTGCCCTTTCCTAAAGAATCTCTGCTAGCCTGCCCTTTCCTAAAGAATCTCTGCTAGCCTGCCCTTTCCTAAAGAATCTCTGCTAGCCTGCCCTTTCCTAAAGAATCTCTGCTAGCCTGCCTTTTCCTAAGCATCTCTGCTAGCCTGCCCTTTCCTAAAGAATCTCTGCTAGCCTGCCCTTTCCTAAAGAATCTATGCTAGCCGGCCCTTTCCTAAAGAATCTCTGCTAGCCTGCCCTTTCCTAAAGAATCTCTGCTAGCCTGCCCTTTCCTAAAGAATCTCTGCTAGCCTGCCCTTTCCTAAAGAATCTCTGCTAGCCTGCCCTTTCCTAAAGAATCTCTGCTAGCCTGCCCTTTCCTAAAGAATCTCTGCTAGCCTGCCCTTTCCTAAAGAATCTCTGCTAGCCTGCCCTTTCCTAAAGAATCTCTGCTAGCCTGCCCTTTCCTAAAGAATCTCTGCTAGCCTGCCCTTTCCTAAAGAATCTCTGCTAGCCTGCCCTTTCCTAAAGAATCTCTGCTAGCCTGCCCTTTCCTAAAGAATCTCTGCTAGCCTGCCCTTTCCTAAAGAATCTCTGCTAGCCTGCCCTTTCCTAAAGAATCTCTGCTAGCCTGCCCTTTCCTAAAGAATCTCTGCTAGCCTGCCTTTTCCTAAGCATCTCTGCTAGCCTGCCCTTTCCTAAAGAATCTATGCTAGCCGGCCCTTTCCTAAAGAATCTCTGCTAGCCTGCCCTTTCCTAAAGAATCTCTGCTAGCCTGCCCTTTCCTAAAGAATCTATGCTAGCCGGCCTTTTCCTAAGCATCTCTGCTAGCCTGCCCTTTCCTAAAGAATCTATGCTAGCCGGCCCTTTCCTAAAGAATCTCTGCTAGCCTGCCCTTTCCTAAAGAATCTCTGCTAGCCTGCCCTTTCCTAAAGAATCTATGCTAGCCGGCCCTTTCCTAAGGGATCTCTGCTAGCCCGCCAAAATTCTTGAACTTTACATACCTGGCCGACTTGGGTCTTGCAGTAGATCCGCTGTCGGGCTCCGCGTCCTGGACCGCCGCTCCACAGCCGTCCCATTTCGTTTCATACTGTAAAAAAATAGGGTTTGATCGTTGTGGATACGGTAGTTTAAGTGCAGAATAATTGTTTAAAAAATGGTGCAAGTGGTGATACAAAGTGCTCTATATTTTGTAAGCGAAACCTCATATTAATGGTCTCAATCCGGCGGGCCTCCAGGCTGCTTCCGGCTCTAAATTGTAAATTTGGGCGAGAGATGGAGAGTGAGCATGAGAAGGAGCTAATGAGCATGAGGGTGAGAGAGAGAGAGCGATTGCGAGAAAGAGAGAGAGCCAACTAGGGAGAGCGGGAGCGAGAGAGCATGAGAATGAGAGCTCGGTAGTGAGCATGAGAGAGAGAACCCTTTTATAAATTCCGAAGCCGCCATATAAGTTTTTCGACAAAAAAAAGAGGAAAATCGCCAAAACTAAAAACGAAAAATACCTCGTACTCCTCTCAATAGGTCGGGCTTCCAGGGAAGAGCCTGCAGATCCTTGCTCCAAGGAGCACGAGTGCATATACCTAGAAAACGGCAGCTCCAAGGAGACCGAACTACCGTACCCCTCCAGCCAGCTCTGCCTCCTCCCTTTTTGGCCATTTGTCGGGTGATTTTGGTGTTGCTGGATTTGGTGGCTGGCACTTTGGCAGGACTCGTCGGAGACGTCGCTCCCGTTTCCTGAACAATGCTTTGGCTACCGTAGTCAGGTTACTGTAACTAAAGCTACTGTGCCGTACTACTGCGTACTATGGTATCGCGAACATTGACATACCGATCCGCCACCGTCCTCTGCCCCTGCCGCCCGTGTTCAGCTCATCCAACGTGGATCCCCAGCCAGCTATCCGGATGCTGACGTCACTCTCAAGGCTCCCGCGACTGTCTTTAGATTCTCGACGGGAGCCGCGGTCTTCGAGACGACCGTCGGCAGAGAGGAATGACATTTTCCTGAAAAATTAGGAATTTTAAAGAGACGTCGAAGTTAGACGACCTAGTTCGAGTGGGAGAGTGAGAGAGAGTGAAAAAGAGAGAGCGAGACAGAGAGTGAGAGGGAGAGAGAGAGCGAGAGAAAGAGAGAGAGAGAGCGCGAGAGAGAGAGCGAGAGAAAGAGAGAGGGAGCGAGAGAGAGAGAAAGAGAGTAAGAGATGGAACGCGATGGAGAGCGATGGAGAGCTATAGAGGGCGCGAGCGCGGGAGAGTAATGGTGAAAGGGAGAGAGGGCGTGAGAAAAAAAAAGGAGAGTGCGAGCGAGCGTGAGAGCTAGTAAGTGAGAGCGAGAACGAAAGAGAGCGATAGAGAGCGAGAGAGAGAGATCTAGAGGCGGAGAGATAAAGTGAGCAGGAGAGAGTGAGCAAAAGAGCAAGAGATCTCAAAAAAGAAACAAACATACCGAAAATCATTCCGATTATCCCCAGATATTGACGGTCTCGCCGCCGAAATCATCACCCTTGGCAAGTTGTTCGACGACATCGAAACGCGACGATTACCCAGCCGACTAAAATAAATCAGTAAATTTCGCTTTTTTTTTAATTTTTGCAATTCTATAAAATGCACACTCTGGTTGATACAGGGGTTCCAAGGGGGGCAGCCTAGCCAAAAATAACGCTTTTTTCAGCGCATTAAAGGGACATGTAAGGCAAAACAAAGCCGGTATCCTGGAGGGGGAGAATAAGGGAAACATGCAAAACTCGCAGCCGATATAGATCAATGCAAATTTGCGCGAAAATTAAGCCATTTTCAGCTGCAAATATACATATTTGGGGAGCCACTCTGCTCAGGGGGAAAACAAACCTTCCGTCATATTCCTCTGGCGAGAGATCCCTTAAAATTTTTGGGAATTCTTGAGGATTTTGATGCCACCATGGCAAACTAGCAGAGATGATTTGGGAATGTAAGAGGCAGGCTAGCAGAGATTCGTTATTTTATTAATCATAAGCTTAAATTCCTCTGGAGGTTTAAATTCCTAATGGCTAAGCCTAAGCTTACGCCGAAGCTAAGCCGAAGCCTAAGCCTAAACCTTAGCTTACAGCGAAGCTAAGCCTAAGCGTAAGCCTAAGCCTCAGCCGAAGTAAGTCTAAGCCTAGTCCTACGTCTAAACCTAAGCCTAAGTAAGTCTAAGCCCAAGCCTAAGCCTAAGTTCTTTGCTTTGAATTTTCGATTCTCAAACGATCTCTGCTAGCCTGCCTTTTCATTCCTAAACAATGATTTACAATTCAGACACTAACCCAAGTCCTCCACCATGCACTCGATGCTTCACGTGTTGATCCTCATTTTCGTAGCGTAACTGCTCGATGATGTCGAGGAGGATGCGGATTGATGACATCACATCATCGAAATGAGCTGGGGATAGCTCGGTGAACTGGAAAATAGGGATTTTGGGACAAGGCAAGCTAGCAGAGACCATTTAGAAGCCATCTCAGCTTACCCTTGATGCTATCCCGGACACGAGAGGAGCTAAGAGATGCGTGGCGACGTCCATAGGGTTTCGTAGCCGACTTGGGTCCCGGGTGACGACCCGCTGCACGAGCCCTGGATTTTAAAGGAGCGCTGAAGCCAAATCCACAAGAACGAACGTGATTTGGCGTGGATTATCACCGGATGCGTCGAGTTGCAAATGACGACCGATGAGATGAGGTGGGGCAGGGAGAGCGAGTCGCATTTGTCGGACAAAGCTGCCAAGGCTACGAGCAGATCCAGTTGACGCTGGAAAAAAGGGTGTTCAGTTTCAGGTTATATCTAAATTTTTACGTCCCAATCGCTTTAAATAAAAATTAAAAAATGGAATTTAATTCCCCAACGAAATAAAAATATGATAAGCCAATGAATTTAAATTTTCTTACCGGTACGTTGTCGTTCAAATACGGCTGTAAGGTATGAATGGATGGGAGTAGCCGCCGAATGATGTATTGTGAGGGCAGAAAATCGGCGATTGGAGGGATTCCGCGAATTGCACTGCTCTAAAAAGGGTTTTAATTTACGCATAACGTAATGGATCTTAAAAACATCCATTATTGAGTTAAATTATCGATTATCGAGACTCTTTTCTACCTGCATGGAGGCGTCATCACAATTTAGGGAATGCACAATTAGATCCAGCAACCGGTCTTCTACCTAAAAAAGTTGAAGATTTTAAATTTTTCACTTTAACGATGGATAAAAATCTTTAAATTTGCATAAAAATTGCTGCTTTAACGTACCTTATCATCGGTTAACCTGCGGAAGAGCACGGCCATGTTTTCGAGCACGAAGGCGCGGAGCTACAAGGATTTTTGAGTTTTCGAAACGGAAAATATAGCAGTTTAGAAAAAGGTAAATTGCCCTTGTTAGCTTGCCTGCGTTTAATAGTTCTGGAATTTCTTAAAAAATCTAAAAGTCGAAAATTTGCCGGAAGACCGGAATCCCACAAAAAGAGAAGCAATTTCCGCGATTCTCGGGCCTTATTCGGCTCCATGGCGCTCCAAAAGACATCCCCGAGGACCAAAAAAAGTGGGGGAAAATAATCGGCAAATGAAATCGGAGGGCCAGGAGGAGAGGGGATTCGAATAGCTGGCTATCCGGCAACCGGAAAAATGAAATTTGTGGCCGGCGGCGAACTCCATTTTCCGGATTGGCGCCTGGCTAGAAAAAGCATGGAAAATGGGTTTGAACGTCTTGAAAATTGTCTGGAAGGTGAATTTGGTCTAGCCGGCCCTTTCTCAAAGAATCTCTGCTAGGCTGCCGTTTCCTAAAGAATCTCACCGATTTCTGGCTGGTGTGCTCCAGCAATCTGCGCATCCACGTTCGTAGCTTATGGATGTTGTGGCTCTCACAGTGTTCCAGCATCAGGAACAGGGGCTAGAATGAGGATGACTATCGATTGGAACCAAGGTACCTTAACAACGGCCGGAAACAGCTCATGCGAATCGTAGACGTGATCACAAAGTCGTGGCAGGACCCGCGAGAACCAGAGGGGCTAAAAAGCGACATTTTAAAGGTGTCGGCAAGGAGAGAAGAGGAGAGACAGAGAGAGAGAGAGAGAGAGAGAGAGAGAGAGAGAGAGAGAGAGTAAGATAGACTCACTTCCGGAATATTTGGCAGCGTTTGTTGTAGCGTCTGTGACAAGAAGTGTGCTTTGTTGGCGGGGTCGAACTCTTGCCCCAAATCGTCTAACTGCCTCAATGCAGACACGCATGGATCGTCGAAGTGCTTGATCAGCGCCAAGAGCTGCACACTGGGCCGGACGTCGACTTCCATGGAGAGGACCTGGAAATGAGAACGATTGTGATTTCGAGGTAAAGATTTTAGCAGACTAGCAGAGATTTTTTACGAAAGGGCAGGCTAGCAGAGATTATTAAGGAATCATGCTGGGACCTACCTTTGACATCGACTCCTTCAAATTTGCTCCCAACTGTTCGGATATGCAAATCAAAGCGGCGTCCAGCTGAAAAACGGAATCTTCGATAATTTTGTGATTAGAAACCTGGCCGCACACGATGGCGTGCGTCTCCAAGTTGTTTTTAGCGTCGATGAGCCTTTTCCCGCCCGCGTATATCCAACATATGAGCACGCCAAGCGAGAAAACGTCAGCGGCCGAGGTTACGGTATGCTGATTAGGGGATAGATACCTGAAAAAAGAACGATAATTTTCTCAGAGAATCTCTGCTAAGCCCTTTCCTAAAGAATCTCTGCTAGCCTGCCCTTTCGTAAAGAGTCTCTGCTAGCCTGTCCTTTCCTAAAGAACCTCTGCTAGCCTGCCCTTTCCTAAATAATCTCTGCTAGCCTGCCCTTTCGTAAAGAATCTCTGCTAGCCTGTCTTTTCCTAAAAAACCTCTGCTAGCTTGCGATACTTACTCTGGCGCCAAAAAGTCGAGGTCCGGTTGCAGGGCGGCTGGCAGCTTTTTTGTCCAAGGAAAGCAGGGGTATTCGTTCTGAAAAAAAGAATCGGACGCCCATAAACTCCTCAAAATTCCCCAATGATCTCTGCTAGCCTGCCTCTGCAACTTACTCCATCTTTTGCGGCCGATGAAAAGGAGAAGCCTCCAATTTTCCACAGCCTACTCGTCGTCACATAAATACTCTGGGGGCACAGGTTTCCGTGAAGAATTTTGGCCGAATTGTGAAGGTAGGAGAGACCGTCGATTAGCTAAAAATATGATTTTTCTGAGTTAATCTAAAACCCTTTTGAATGGAATAGCGTCCAGTCACGCTCCCTTTAAAATGCCAAAAACACCCACTTGCAAGACCCCCAGCTTCATCTCCAGCTTGTCAATCCCCTCATCCGGTATCAAATTCTCCAAATTTGCGTAGATCGGCTCGGCGGCAAAGGCCATATATTCTCTGCAAAAAATCATGGTTCTGGACTGTTAGCGGGGGGGACCAAATTTTTCCCTGTGATTCTCTACCGCCTACAGCCCAAAATAAATTATTTTTAAATCCTTTTATATACAATATAAAAATAATAAGCGTTTTGGAATTTCTTTGACTTTTTGGTCAAAAATGTATGAAAAATGACAAAAAAAATGGTCAAGTGGAAAAGTGATTCCCCACTTGCTAACCCCCCCCCCCCCGATAACAGTCCAGTACCTAAATCGTATGCTAAAGGTATCGAATTATTACTTTGTATCCTCTAGCGGGTGAATCAAGTGGATGATCCTCGGATGCTGCAACGTCGTCAACTGGGTCACCTCGTACCGGATCAAGTCCGACAGGGCCAACCGGTTCATTCGGCCCAGCCGGGGCGCGGCCTGAAATTTGTTCGAATTTCATTTAAAAAGCGGGCCCACCTTCACATTGTTTTTCCGCTCGAAGACGAACACGGAGGATTCCTGGATAAAACAATTTAATTCAATGAAATCTTAACCGCACGGCTTCGATTTTCAAGGAACTCGTAAGGCAACAGTTTTTACATCCCTGCTCTCTCGCTCTCTCTCTCTCTCTCTCACAATCTCGCTCTCTCTCCCTTGCTTTTTCTCGCTCTCTATTTCGCCCGCTCGCCGTCTCTCTCTTTCTCTCCTTCCCTCTCGCTGCCTCTCACTTTTTCTCTCTCTTTCTCTAGCCTTCTCATCTTTTCCCAAATCCTCTCTGCTAGCTTGGCTTTTTGTGAGTCCCTCTCTCTTTTCTAAAAGCCCCCATCTCCCATCTGCTATTTGGCAACAATTCCCTTCCGCGTGGCCGGGCCCCAGCTGCATTAGAATTTCCGAGAAGAAGCCCAGGGATGGAGAAATGGAGGGGTTGAGAGCAAAAAATCGAGAGGCGAGAGAGAGACAGAGCGAAAGAGAGAGGGATAAAGAGAGAGAGAGAGAGAGAGAGAGAGAGAGAGAGATCGAGTAAAAGCGGGCGTTGGAATAATCTAATTACCCGGGGCGTGTGGGGACTGCTGAAGAGATGGGTGTGGGGAGGGCATACGGAATGCTCCTATCGACAACGACGACGCGCACACCCCAAAAAAATGAGGCAAAAAATAGAATGCAACGGGACGGAGTTGATTAGGTGGTCGGCTAGCAGAGACCTTTGAGGAACATGATTGCAACAGAGCAGGCTAGCAGAGATCATTTAGGAAAGGACAGGCTAGCATAGATTCTTTAGGAAAGGGCAGGCTAGCAGATAATTTTTAGGAAAGGGCAGGCTAGCAGAGATTCTTTAGGAAAGGGCAGGCTAGCAGAGATTCTTTAGGAAAGGGCAAGCTAGCAGAGATTCTTTAGGAAAGAGAAGGCTAGCGGAGATTCTTTAGGAAAGGGCAGGCTAGCAGAGATTCTTTAGGAAAGGGCAGGCTAGCAGAGATTCTTTAGGAAAGGGCAAGCTAGCAGAGATTCTTTAGGAAAGAGAAGGATAGCGGAGATTCTTTAGGAATGGGCAGGCTAGCAGAGATTCTTTAGGAAAGGGCAGGCTAGCAGAGATTCTTTAGGAAAGGGCAGGCTAGCAGAGATTCTTTAGGAAAGGGCAGGCTAGCAGAGATTCTTTAGGAAAGGGCAGGCTAGCAGAGATTCTTTAGGAAAGGGCAGGCTAGCAGAGATTCTTTAGGAAAGGGCAGGCTAGCAGAGATTCTTTAGGAAAGGGCAAGCTAGCAGAGATTCTTTAGGAAAGAGAAGGCTAGCGGAGATTCTTTAGGAAAGGGCAGGCTAGCAGAGATTCTTTAGGAAAGGGCAGGCTAGCAGAGATTCTTTAGGAAAGGGCAGGCTAGCAGAGATTCTTTAGGAAAGGGCAGGCTAGCAGAGATTCTTTAGGAATGGGCAGGCTAGCAGAGATTCTTTAGGAAAGGGCAGGCTAGCAGAGATTCTTTAGGAATGGGCAGGCTAGCAGATATTCTTTAGGAAAGGGCAGGCTAGCAGAGATTCTTTAGGAAAGGGCAGGCTAGCAGAGATTCTTTAGGAAAGGGCAAGCTAGCAGAGATTTTTTAGGAATGGGCAGGCTAGCAGAAACCCTTTGAACCTACCTTATCCCCAAAAACGCTCCTCGCATTGAATATTTTCCAGTAGGCGGCCGTGCAGTGGAGCTCGAGCTGGTGGAAGTGTTTGTCGAGAGGGGTGGGAGCCGCGCCTTAAAATTAAATTAAAAAATTAGCAACTTTTTTAAAGGCCCATTGAAGGCGAAATCTTGAAGCTTCCGCTTGAGCTTTTGCCTTCAATGTACCTTTAATAATCCTGAACTTAAATTTCAATTAAACTGAAATTGTAGGGATTAGTTGGTGCTCGTTTTCGTGCTATTTTCAAATTTAGAGGACACTGGATTACGGTAGGGTTAGTGTAACTTAAAAATGGACAATAAATGGAATTTCATCACGTGCAGTGGGGTAGACAAAGGTATGGAAAATGCAAGTAACTAATTAGGTATCTTCGAGCCTCGATCTGCCTAGCCAAGCTTACCGAGCAATCGCAAGATTTTTATGACTTTAGAAAAAGGTGTACGACATTTTGGGCAAGCTAGCAGGGTTTCTTTGCGGAAGCGAATTTTGCGATTTTTGGAGCTGCTTTCATTTAATTTTTGCTTATTGATACGCCTTGAATTCGGTGAATTTGAAGCAAGATCTTCTGAAACTTTTCAAGTTTGCATTGAAAATATCAAAAATATCGGTTTTTCCACGGAAAATGGCCCATTTTGGCCAAAATTTCGACTTTTTAAAAGCTTTTTGGATAGTTTTTCTAGTTAAAATACAGCATACATTACTGAAAAGTATTCAAACAATATCTATTAAACTACTAAGGATTTCTAGACTTATATAAAAGTTCGGTCTTCCCCCCCGATAACGCGAAAGAACCGCCAATTCTGAGGGTTACGGTGATTTAGGGTGTATTTGAAAGGTGCAAGTGACGTACAGCTGGGCAGGGTGTTTCTCCGTGATATGGTTAGGATACCGGGGTGTGGCTGACCCTGATGATGTTGTGTGGCAGATGAGGGTGGAGGGGAGGTGACCGGACGGCTTGGGACCAGTGACGTCTCCCGGGGCGAGGGCTGGAAAATCGTAGATTTAAGGAGTCGCTCCCACTATCTCTATTTCACCCTCTCCCCTCCCTCTCACTCCTCTCTCTCTCTCGCTCTCTCTCTCTCTCTCTCTCTCTCTCTCTCTCTCTTTATCGCTCTCGCTCTCGCTCTCTCACGCCCTGTAGGAAGCGCAGGGAAGGCCTGTCCAATACGCTCCTATTGACACCCCCCGCGTGCTCGGAACCTTATGTTGTTGCGGGATCTCGGGCGCCCTGCCGGCCAGGGAGTTCTTGCTCCGGTAGCGCATGATGTGGAGCATTCATTCGACGGCACTGATTTTCGTGTTATAGCAAGTTAATGAGAAAGGAGAAAAGAGGAAGAGGGAGAGAGCGAGAGAGAGAGAGAGATATGAGTTAGCAAAAATTCCGATCCGATACATTTTTCCGTGTGGTTAATCCGGAAGGTAGGCCGTCTTAGGCTAAAGCCATCGAGGAGAGCGAATGAGAGAGAATGAGAGAGAGCGAGAGAGATGGAGAAAAGTATAGACACAGACAGCTAGTTTTTGCAGTTAATGAAAATTGTCGGGGGCTCAAAAATTTCCCCTCGGGACCGTCGAAACGCACCGAAGCGGAAATTTGCCGTGAAAATTTGCAATTTACCAATTGGCCATGAGCCAGCGGCAGCAGGTCAAAAAACGCAATTTCCTTGGCTAGAGAATTTTATGCAAGATAGAGAGAGCGAGAGAGAGAGAGAGAGAGAGAGAGCGAGAGAGACGAGAGAGAGCGTGAGAGATATCCGGGAAGCAGAGCAATACAAAATTTGCATAAAATTCAGCACGACCAAGAAAATTCGACCATTAAAACGAGGGAGGGGCGGGTGGTTGTGGAAAAATGTGGAATCAGTAAATGGGATCTTTCAACCCAGGGGCTCCTGCTGCGGGCCCCTTTTCGAAAATGGGATTTTTTGCACATGCCCTCGCCGCAGAAGCCGATTATTTAAATTGATTTTGAATTGGCTTAAGCGGCGGAAAGGGTGGAATCCGAATCCAAAATTTGTAGGGCTGAAAAGTCCGGAAATGGGCTCCGATGGGCTTTCCGGAATTCCCTAATGATCTGCGCTAGCAGGTCTCGCAATTCCCAAATGATCTCTGCCGGTTTGCCCTGTCGGTACGTGCCTAGAAATTCCGCAAAAATATCTGCCTGCCTGCCCCCTGGACTCTTGGAATTTTCCTGAATCAGCTGGACTAGATCCAAGGTAAAAATTTAATTAGAAATTATTTTGCTCAGACGAAAGTGACGGTGTGGAAGAGGGAGAGGGAGAGAGAGAAAAACAGAAAGAGAGAGAGAGTGAGTGAGCGAGAAAGAGATAGCCAAAGAAGCAGAGCAATCAATGAAATTGCGCCGCTAGGGCATAGCGTTGATCACTGAGGAGTGCGAGCTCCAAGGGGCCGGAGGAGACGGATGGGTCCCAAAATTAGGGCCCTAATTGTCGATGTGGAGATGGGTGCGATCGAGCTAAAAGAAATGGAGATGCCCAAGGCCAAATCATATTCTAAAGGATCGCTGCTAGCCTGCCCTTTCCTAAAGAATGTCTGCTAGCCTGCGATTTCCCAAAAAATCTCTGCTAGCCTGCCCTAGTTTCCAAAAAAGACAGGAGTAATAGCGTAGTGGAGTGGAGTAGGTGTTTGTCCGTCTCTTTCTCTCTCTCTCTCTCTTTTTCCCTCTCTCGCTCTCTCTCTCTCTCGCTATGGGAAGGACCACAAGTCAATTAGACGAAGGAGGAGCTGGAGGCGAGGTGACATCTAATACTATCGAAAAGAGAGCCAAAGAATCATGGACAGACTTAGAAAACAACTGATTTTTGAGCCTTCAAAGGTCCATGAAAATTTAAATTTGCATTTTATGATTTTCAGGGGGGCCGGGTAAGCTAGCAGCGAACATTTGGGAATAGAGGGGCAAGCTAGCAGCGAGAGTGAAAAACCCAGATAATCTAGCAGAAGGCGTTCCGGAATGATGGTAGGCTAGCAGAGATTCTTTAGGAATCGGTAACTCCATGAAAAAAGATTAAAAACAAATTTGTAGTGCTTGTTTTCGCGGGAAAGAACGATGAGTGGCGAAAATAATATGAGTCCACCACCAAAAATGTGATTTGTCTGTCGCGGGCTAGCAAAAATCTCACGCCCGAACCTGATTAGTGCTGAGAGCTTTCCGGAAGCTTTTCGGTTATGGCTGGTAAATATGAGGGGGGAGGGGATGGGTACGAACAAAAATAAATGAATAGTTTCAGGCGAGGGAGAGAGAGAGAGAGAGAGAGAGAGAGAGAGAGATAGAGAGAGAGAGAGCGAGAGATAGAGTAAACCGGAACCCGCTATAGCAGCAAAAACGCAACGTTCGCTGTTCCTGAATGTAGTTTCCGGTTGGCTGAACCGGATTAATGTCCGTTTTTTTCAGCCTGTGCAGCTTTTAGGATTTGAAAATCTACGCACGGGCGACTCACATAGATTGTTCAAATCCGAGGCCAAGAATGGGCAAATTTTAATTCCGATAAAATTCCAGGGAACTGTGCACCAAGTTTGGTGAATTTTGGAACCTTAAAGGGACCTGGACAGCAAGAGCGGAAACGAAGATAAAAATAGGAAATATACGTAGCTTTAATTTACAAATTTTAAATTTTTTAAGATTTTAAAAGGCTCTATTAAGCGTTTAACCATAAATTAGCTCAAGAATCGCCGCCGAACTCTTAAGAGTAAAAACATATCCTTTTAAAGGGGCGGTGACACTTCAATGATTAAAATTCCATCCTAAAAGCTGATTTTCAACCTAATATTTTGCTTTAAAACTAAAAGGAGGTGCAAAATCCTAAAGGATCACTGCTAGCCTGTCCAGAAAAAGGATGTTTCTTACAAGATACGGTAACACTTTCAACATCGAAAAAATCAGTGAAAAAAATTGGGTTTTGTTCTTGGAAATTCAAGGAAAGTCCTCAAGAATCACTGCTAGCCGGCCTTGAAAAAGGGACGGCGTTTTAAAGGGGCAGCGACACCTAGAAAAACTCAAAACCTAAGCACAAACTGGGTTGCTATTTCGAAAATTACCGCCCGCATCACCGATGAGGCGACCGAAACCCTAAAAAATGCCCCCGGCGACACTCGTCCCAATTTTCACGAAGCTCGCTCTCGCTGACTTTTTTGGAGCAATTAAAGGGCACGGAGGAGCAGATGCCTGCTCGAATTCACGAGTACATCCACATAGCCTATAGGTATTAAAAACGGTGCTTGTGCTTTATCGGGGGCTCTTCTTTTCTTTTTTTTGGCAAAAATCCATGAAACATGATCAAAAACGGTCAAAATCTTCGAATTGATAAAAATATTTTGTAACTTTATAGCCATCGAAAACTACTAAAAACCACTTTAGAAATACATAACATATCGTCAACGGGTAAGGTATGGGAGGAAAAACAGAAAGTAGTTTCCCCTCCCCTTAAACCCCCGCTAACAGTCCAGAACCGGAAAAGCAAACAACATAAATCCAACCTATTTGAATCGATAAGCATGAAATTCGTAAAAAATAGTCTGCCTCGTCGAGTTAGTGGGCCCCTCGGGGCTTCTCCCCCCATGGCCAGTGCGTGCGCGTCGCATTGGATTTGTGTCCAGCCCGAATTTGGGATTGAAATGAACGGCCGGATTTTTGGAGAAAATTAGGGAATTATTTAAGCCGTAAATTATGTATTGTAATATTGTACACAAACACTGGAATGGAATTTTGCAAATGGTCTCTGCAAGTTTGCCCAAAACCAAAAAAAATCGGAAAGGCGATCGAATTGTAATAAATTTGAATCTGAGCGAGAGAGAGACTGGGAGAGAGAGAAAGCGAGAGAGAGGAAGAGAGCGATTGCGAGAGAGAGACAGCAAGAGATAGAAAGAGCCAGAGAGCCAGAGAAAAGCAGTATGAGAGCGAGAGAGACAGCGTAAAAGAACATTGCGAGAGAGAGTACGAGATAGAGAGAGAGAGAGCCAAGAATCGAAAACGGAAAAAACCCAGAATTTTGAAAAATCCAAAAGTATAAAAGTTTATTTACAATTTTTTTACAGCGCAAGTATGCGACCTTTTTTCTAAAAATTTTAATCATGTATTTTCATCCAAAACAGAGTCCGCAAACCGCTAGACGATCAGCCACCGGAATTGGGCATTGTTTTTCGGGTGTGTGTGTCCCATTGGGGGGATTCGAATGAGTCGAGTGAGCGCCTTTTCACCGGGCCCTCCTCCTCCGGGCTTCACACATTCCATAATGGCCAATTTCGTTGAGAGATCCGCTCAGACGAATACAGAAGAACAGGCAGAGAGGAGAACAGGGAAAGAGACGGAAAATGGCGATTTGGAATTCACACTGCTTTTGAGGGGGGCTGAAACGATTTATGCGGTGGGCCCCCCTGAAAATAGGCCCGGAGAACTTTTGGAGAGCTTTGGGACATTGATTAATGGTATTTTAGAAGTTATAAATTCTAAAAATGCTATTTTATATTTTTTAATTGTTCTGTAGATTTAAATCAGTTAAACAGTCACCTAAAAATTGCAAAATTGCTCTAGTTCTCGATTTTTAGGTAGCTCTCTCTCTCTCTCTCTCTCTCTCTGTCTCTCTCTCCCTCTTTCAAGTTCGACCGCATTTCAAAACTAATTTTCAATGTAAAATTTTTTGAGAATAACTCGAGAAAGGAGAGATTCAGAAAATTTAATTTTATTTAAGAAATATTTAATTAGAATTTTGAATCTTAAAAATTAAAGTTTGCAACTTATCCTAAATCCGATTACTGTATTTTCTGTATTCAATAATAAGACCTCGAATGTCTCCAAAATTCAACCGTTCCAAAATGGCCCATTTTTTTTGTTTACCAAAATAGCATTTCCTGGCGGCTTATCGGCTCTGGGGGGCTGTAGGAGGTGGATTAATTGAGGAGATTTTACACTGGAAAACAAAGATCGAAATTCAAAAGTGGGAGGCAGTCTAGCGAATCATTTCGAAATTTAGCGGATCGGCTAGCAAAGATTATTTAGGAAACCGGAAGCAGGCTAGCAGAAATTCTTGGAGAATCGGAAGCAGAAAATTTGAAAAGAAGCAGTGCAAACTAGCAGGGATCCTTAGGGCCTGAGGGCAGGTTAGCAGAGACCATTTGAGAAATAGTGGGGCAGGCTAGCAGACACGCTTTTGGAACCGAGGGCAGGCCAACAGAGTTCACTTCGGATCGGAAAAGCAGCTAGCGGAGATCATTTGGGATTTTACGAAACCGGGCAGGCCAGCAGCGATCATTTA